ACAGACACACACACACACACACAGACAGACAGACACACACAGACACAGACACACACACACAGACAGACACACACAGAGACAGACACAGACATAGACACAGACACAGACACAGACACACATACACACACAGACAGACAGACAGACACAGACAGACACACACAGAGACAGACAGACACAGACACAGACACACACAGACAGACACACACACACACACAGAAGGATGAGAACACTGAACTCCAGCTGGGTTTGACTGACATCATGAGGACAGACGTTCTTACTCTGTTTCTTGTAATACTCCTCCCATGCTTTGCTGTATTCGGAGCCGCTGCTCTGGCCTTGGTTCTGTTGACCTGCGCACAGACAAAACACGCAAACTCAGCCTCGATTTGATTCAGGAGCATCAGCCGCACGATTAATCAGAACAAAACCGAAATCATAAGGCTGTGATTTAATTAAATAAACATATGCACACTGAGTGAAGCGTGGCACTGTGTTCATTTACACACCAGCAGCTCATGATCGCGTGTTTTCAGCGTCTCGGTTCACAGTAATTGATCCGCATGAACTCCATCTGCATCTATGATGAGTTTGAGTCGCTTTAAAGTACATTTGGAAACAAACCATCTTCACAAACTTATAATGAGAAGCGCTTGTCAACAAAAGAGCAGCTGTAAGTGCTCCTGCGTCAGAATAAAAGTGTTTGAAAATCAAGATTTTTTTCTGCAAAGATGGAAGAGTATTACAAGAGTATTATATTGGGTCAACTAATGCAATATTAATGTAACCTGCTCTTGTGATTTGATGTACAAATATTTCCTCCGCAAAGAGAATACATGATGACGGAATTATTATTTTATTTTATTTATTTATTTAATTTTCTGTCCCTTATTTGAAAAAGGTTTGAATGTTGGGGATGGTTTGTAAAAAAATAAAAATAAAATAATAATAAAAAAAAAATTTAAATAAAAAAAAAAAAAAATCAAGAAATTTGAACACAACAGTTATAAAGTTAAATAAAATTATGCATTATTAATATATTATTTTTCTAATACTTTTTTCATTTTAAAGTGAAATATTACATTAGTAATATTTCTTATTTGATTTTTTTTCGTATTTTTTTATATTTTATAACAATACTACTAATAATAACTATTATTATTATTATTATTATTATTATAGCCATAATGATATATACTCTAACCCAATAAGCAAGCACAAAAAAAACTAACATTTTTTTTAAACAGCATTTTAAATCCCAATTGCAAATTTTTTAATAACTTAAAATAAATAAACAAACAATGCAGCCCTAGTCATAACTTCTTGGGATACCAGTCAGAGTGAAAACTAAACCAATGATAAATAAACTGCAAAAAGCAATTTTTATTTTTCGTTTTAGACTTTTACGGTTATAACGCTGTAAACGTCAATACCGGATCACGTCTTGTTGGGCTTTTTGTGTTCATCGCAGGCTTTTATCAGAACGAGTAATGAAAAACAACAACAGTATTCCAGCCCATCCAAAAAAGAGTGGCAGAAAATAATCCAGCAGACCGGGAAAACTGCTAGCCAGGCAAATAAAACGCTCTCAGCCAAGAGTCCCGGCGTCTCACCCAAACCTTCACGAGGTTTACACAGAAGAAACACAGCGAACCGTTTCAGAGGCACTTGCCTAGCTTTTTATAATACTGCTCCCACGCTTTGGAATAGTCCATCTGGCCGGTCTGGGATCCATTGTGACCTGAAAAGAGCAAAGCGAAATGAATCTAAAGCCAAGTGATGTTCCTCAGAAGAAACGGTGATGTTCACAAGAGGAGTGAGTCTTACTGGGGTCCTGCTGGCTCTGAGGCTGCCATGTCTGGTACGTGGTTCCCCAACCTCCAGTCATGAACGTCTGCGGACCACTAACACACAAAACACCAAAACATCATTACAAACACTCCACAGGAGCCCACAGACAATCAACCCAGTCTGAAACACACACTCGAACATGATTCATCTGAACGCTTCCGATTACAAACTAGACACGTCTGAGAGGTTCAGTACATCAAATCTTTAGGGCTATCAAGTGATTTTTAATTAATTAATTACACGATGTGCCGATTAACTAATCATCAATTCTGGCTGAGAAATTACCCCCCAAAAGACCATTTAAAGTCATTATTGTGTTAAATGAGAAAAGCATTATGGTGTTAATGAGTGAGTCATTGAATCATTCGCTCAACTGATTTGTTCCAAGTCAGTGACTCTTTAAGAGTGAGTCATTGAATCACTCGCTCAACTGATTTGTTCAAGTCAGTGACTCTTTATGAGTGAGTCATTGAATAACTCGCTCAACTGATTTGTTCAAATCAGTGACTCTTTATGAATGAGTCATTGAATCACTCGCTCAACCGATTTGTTCAAGTCAGTGACTCTTTGAGTGAGTCAATGAATCACTCGCTCAACTGATTCGTTCAAATCAGTGACTCTTTATGAATGAGTCATTGAATCACTCGCTCAACCGATTTGTTCAAATCAGTGACTTTATGAATGAGTCATTGAATCATTCGCTCAACTGATTTGTTCAAGTCAGTGACTCTTTATGAATGAGTCATTGAATCACTCGCTCAACCGATTTGTTCAAATCAGTGACCCTTTATGAATGAGTCATTAAATCACTCGCTCAACTGATTTGTTCAAGTCAGTGACTATTTATGAATAAGTCATTGAATATTCGCTCAACTGATTTGTTCAAATCAGTGACTCTTTATGAATGCGTCATTGAATCACTCGCTCAACTGATTTGTTCAAGTCAGTGACTCTTTATGAATAAGTCATTGAATATTCGCTCAACTGATTTGTTCAAATCAGTGACTCTTTATGAATGAGTCATTGAATCACTCGCTCAACTGATTTGTTCAAATCAGTGACTCTTTATGAATGAATCATTGAATCATTCGCTCAACTGATTTGTTCAAATAAGTGACCCTTTATGAATGAGACATTGAATCACTCGCTCAACCGATTTGTTCAAATCAGTGACTCTTTATGAATGAGTCATTGAATCACTCGCTCAACTGATTTGTCAAATCAGTTGAGCAAATGTGTTGAGCAAATGTGTTGAGCAATAAGTGACTCTTTATGAACGAGTCACTGAATCATTGACTCACTCAAATCGAATCACCGCTGTATGTTGTTCAGAGACGCTCGACAGTTCTGCTGTGGATTTGATCGGAACTACTTTGTGTGAATTCGAGCAGAAACTGACAATATTGTGTCTAAAATGTAACTTCTTATTTATTTGACTATTAAATCACTATCACATTAGCAATCGTGCACATCACACCAAATTAAAGCATTAAACTGACCTACAAATCTTAGTTTTGATATACACCGAATAAGCAAACAAAACATCACGCCTTTGTCAGAATTAACTCACTGGCAGAGAGGAAATAAACGAAGGAAGGCACTCACTTCTGATGAGGAGTCGCAGGTCCTTGGGTGAAAGGACCGAGTCCAAAACTGCTGCTTCCTCCCATTCCAGACGCCTACATGAGGACGAAACAGAACCAGTCATTATTATTCTAAACTTTTGAACACTACTGTACGCACCTGCAAACAGAAAGCGCTGAGAAACGGATCACTCACCCCGATCTTCTCGTCGATCAGCTGTCTGGCCATCTCCATCTGCTGAGGAGATCCACGGATGGAGAAGATCCGGACGTTTGGGTCGGTGTTCGGAGGAGGATTTCTCTGCAGCTCCACATGAGCGCCAGACTGCTGGTTGATGCTCTTTATGGTCTCTCCACCTGAGCAGAACACATGAGCACGACCCATTAACAGAGATCTATCATATGCACGACGGAAGTTTAACTAGATTTCATGATTGAACCAGTTAGAAACATCAGAGACAATCAAGCATAAAAATACAGGTACAAAACACCAGTACATTTTTTTTTAAAATTAAAACAAAAAATATGGACACAAGGGATAGCTAAAATAAAAAAATATATATATAATACAATAAAAAAAAAAACAATAACGAGTTACAAACTTCAAGAGCAAGCGACTTCAAGTGCAAAACACCTGCTACAATGGTTTAAAGGTATATGGACGCATGGGCTAGTTTAAAAATAAAAAATAAATAAAAACAAAAATAACTTTTTAAAAATGTAATAACCAATTAGAAACATGCACAAACAAATGTAAAAAATACAGGTGCATAGTATCTGCTCACTAAACAGCCATATAGTCCACAATTATTTTAAAAGTATGAAATCAATTAAAGCTGCAGTCCGTAAGTTTTGCCTCTTTGTCGCCATCTCGGTTTGAAAACCTGGAATTGCAGCTGTGTGCGGAATTATCTTCATTGCGTGGGTTGTGCTTCGGCACGGATGAATCTAATGTTCTGAAGAGTGTGTGTGTGGCAGTCAGTCACCGCAGCGAAGTGGATATTTACTGTACTTCACAATCACAGATTCTAGCCCACGTCTTGGAATATATGACCCAAATAAGCATTTTCACTAGGGATGCACCGATACCGATCTCCTGTACTCGTACTCGTTAAAATGCCCCGATACCAAACGCCGATACCACACAGCATGTGATAAGTGCCATATTCAAACAAAGAAACACCGACAACAGAACAACAGACAGCAGAAAGGAGTTAAGGATGTCTACTACGA